AGTTTCGTATATGTGTGACTATGGCAATAAAAACAATGAAATGATGTAATGTTATGGAGTGAAGCAACCCAATGAAATGAAGAAACTTACCATAAAGTGGCACGTACATATTCCATCTAGAGAAAGTATGTCAATGCAGGTTTGATCGTCACCAAAATTAAGCAACTTCTAAGGGGACGGTATTTTGTGGCCCATTCCCAACCCGACAACCCACGAGAGTGGTTCTTGGTGCTGGGACCTACCTTAGCATCGCAAAATTTTTGTTCATGTAAAAGTTTCTTCTCATTTCTCCAGCTAATTCTCAACAAATCCAAAACCCCGAATAAAGGAAGGCACAATCCAGCTTTATAAAAAGGAAAGTTCCCGTCTTAATACATATATATATTGGCATTTTAATGAGGATTGAAGTCTTTCCATGTCACTCGTGACCTTACTTATACGTTGATGTGGTTATGTTTTTTTTTTTGAAAAACTGATCATGTTTTGTAGGGAAAAAAAAAAAAAAGAAAAAAGAAAAAGAAGAGGAGATTATTGTCTCATATTGCTCAAGTATGAGGTTTTGTTGTTATAAGTGTGTAGCATATGCTTCTTCCGATTAATAGTTATTCAAAAGTAGGGAAAAAAAGAAGAAGCTCTTATAAGTTATATTCGCAAGCTATGTTGAAGAGAAACAAAACTTTCTCTCCAAAAACGCTAGTTTTCTTTGATATCTCTTGCATGGCATCCATACGGGTTCAATAGTCAACTTTGTAAAATCACTAGATCATGTTGATAATTTTATCCAAAAATCATTCCTAATATTCATGATTTTGTTGTCATGGTAGTAACGATTGATGATCAAAGGGTTTAAATGACGGAATTAATAATTATTTTGTGTTTATAGCATATTTGTATATGTATATATATTCTCCAAACTAGCATGATTCACAAATTTATTGAAAAAAGTTTTTTATCGAATCTTAAATAAACTATTTAAAAAATATCAGACCAATCTTCATTAGCGAGTGATGCTGGCATGCTGCCAAGTTAAATACCTAATAGTGGCGTCCTGCTTGCTCAGCTCGAGGTTTGGTTTTAAAGTTTTGCCGGTAAAAGTTCGATTTGGTAGAATCTGCTTAGAGAGCCGTGCATCTTTCCTTGCCATCAGTCTTACAATCCCTAGTCTGATTGGACTGTGATTAAAGGCCCACATTACATTACATGCAAAAACCTCAGAGCTCATTTTTGAAAAAATTAACATACACAAATTAGTTTGATTGTAAAAATTAGTTTCAGACTATTGGCTTTATAATAGTTTAAGATTTTTACTCTCAATTTACATTATTTTGAATCGAAATTAATATTTTTTAATAATCGATATTTTTTCTGTTATTTTTTAAGACTAAAAATCCTTCAACATTTTTTGCAGTCAATTTTTAACGGTTAATTTAAATGTTTAAATGTTTTTTTAGCAAAGATATATATATATATATATATATATATATATATATAAAATGATGGTTAGTATAGGATGACACGTCGTCCATATAGCTTTACGCTTGATGAAAGACGAAAAAGAAGAAACCAGCCACCACGTACCCCTGAAAAACAAACTCAGAAAGTTTCCATCTTTCTTGCTAAACCTCACTCACTACCATGGCATGAAAACTAACTTTATCAACCCCTAAAAAAACTATTTGAATACATCTGCTGTGTTTTTATAAAAAACTATTTGTCCGAAGAAAAACAAGTTCCACTATCTTGTTTTGCTTATTTTTCAGTATTTGTTTCGTGTTAAAAAAAAAATTCAATGAAAAGTGATTTTCAATCAACGAACAATGATATGGTATTTTTGAAAAAATGGTTTTTCAATTAAAAAAAAAAACATTTTTCTTCTCACGTGATGTCTCGCTCGCACGTTACTTACCTTTCGCTCAATATATTTTAAATTTTTTTTTAAATTTTTTTTATTTAAAATATATCAAATTAATTTTTAATTATTCCTTATCAATTATTATTAATTATTTAATTATTTTCTTATCTCTATTTCTAATAATATTTGATTTTTTTGATTTATAGGTATATTAAATATTCTTAAAAACCATTTTTACACCTTAAAATTATTTTTATAATAAATATTTTAATAATTTATCTCTATTTTTTTTTACCGTTATCTAAAACACCACCTAAACTATAATAAAATGATTGAAAATGATTATTACAAGACTATAATTTTTTAAAAAAATTTGAAATTAATTAATTAATTAATAAATACATTATTTTTCCAACACTATTCATTTGCAAGTAAATTAATAACTTATAATTTTAATCAATTGTAAAATTTTATTGGTAATCGTAGTGAATAATTAGTTACAAATTATTCTAACATTAATCTTTTTAAACCAAATGAATAATTATCTATAAATGATAACTAATAATTTATAAAATTATTTTTAGACTAAATTATCAGTTCAATTTCTAAAAAAATAATCATTCTTAATTGAGTTACCAAAATAATAATGCTAGGATTATTTATAATTGTTTTTCTAAATGTGAATATTGCGTTGATTTTGTCCTAAATAATTTTGATGGTTAAAAAAATATATTTTATTTTTTGAATTAAAATTTTAGATTAATTATTTATGAAAATTTTTCTAAATGTATCCTATATTGCGAAATTATGAATATACATTTTTGAAGTTTTCTCAAAACTTGTTAATGTAATAATCACATACTGTTTTTGTATTTTAATTTTCTGTATCAAACAAATGCTGAAATATATTTTTCAGTAGTTTTTTATGTAATTGTCAAAAGACAGAAAATATTTTTTCAAAAAATAATTTCTTGAAAAATAGCATTTTTAAGAATTGATTTTCTTACGAAAGTTATTTTCCATCAAACAAACGGAACTTAAGATGTTGTTTGAATATTGAAATCAATGATTAAAAAATTTATTATCAAAGATAAAGATAATAAAAAATAAAGTAATGTTTACTTAAAAAATATTTATAATAGTTTGGAATTCAAATAATTTAAATTAATAATAAAAATCTTAAATTACTATAATCTCAATAGTTCAAAGATAATTTTTGTCATTAAATCTACATAAATTAATGGGAGCAAATCAAAACTTTATTCTAATCTTTTATTGAATTTAGAAATGAATCAAATTTGGTTTAAATTGATCTTAATTTTATTATCACTCGAGTCACAAACACTACCATAGGTTGATGTCATGTACGTACTCTAAGTCGTTCTCAAATTCCTCGAAGAGAGTGATTGCTCCTCCCGGCTATCAATTTTCACTTGGAGTCATTTTCACTTCCTTGGCCCATGTTGTGCAAATAGCACGTACTATCTATGCAAAACAACAGCCACGAAAATATATATATATATCTCCCAGAATGCAACTCCAAGCCAGCCGCCAATAAACGTTCACTTCCTTTGGTCACCGTAATTCTACAGCACAGAGCTTGGTACCAAGCTTATTCAGACTGGTAGTTTTGGATATATATATATATATATATATATATATATCTCCCAGAATGCAACTCCAAGCCAGCCGCCAATAAACGTTCCTTTGGTCACCGTAATTCTACAGCACAGAGCTGGTCCCCAAGCTTATTCAGACTGGTAGTTTTGGATATATATATATATATCTCCCAGAATGCAACTCCAAGCCAGCTGCCAATAAACGTTCACTTCCTTTGGTCACCGTAATTCTACAGCACAGAGCTGGTCCCCAAGCTTATTCAGACTGGTAGTTTTGGATTAAGGCGTAGCAAAACAAAACAACTTGGACGGCATTGGATAGTTTTTCCCAAATACCTCCACCTCACTGTCAGTGCAAGGCAAGGACTTGACTAGATTTTCCGAAAGCTTTGGTGGCTCATATGCTACGCGCTTTTGAATTTAAGACAGGAAAAAAAAATAATAAATAAATAACAGTAAGATTGAGGATATAATATACTTTTCAATAAAAAGAAAAACCTTGAGAAATTTCGAAGCACCATTCCTTTCTCCCAATTTGATTTGCCAATCAAATTAGGATTGAATATTGTTTGGAACACTAACAAATTAAAATCTATTCATCCAATCCCTTCTCGAAAGTAGGATTTGATTCTTGAACCTAGCTATTTGTTCGGATGAACTTAATTTTTGAAGATTAATTACCAACCAGCACACCGAAAAAAAAGCAGCAACTATGATCTTCTACAAATCAGACAAAAATAATTTTTTTAGTTAAAAAAGGCACTTATAACCGATGGAAAACATATATATCTCACCATTTCTTGATGTCATTCAAATTATTAATACTACAGCTATTTTAATATTAAACTAAATTTTTTCAAATAACTCTAAATTTTATTTTGAAAATTATTTTGATTTTTAATTTTATTCGCACAATCAAATATACATATTTATATGATAGAGAATGAGAACAGAGACTTAAAAGGATTTTCACCTCACTTATTTTTAAAAAATATATATATTATTAAATATTAATAGTAAAAAAATATTATGAAAAATCAATGGGAAAAACTCAAAAATTAAGGACTCCTTTTTAATCTTAGAAAAGGATACTAATATCACCAAACCAAATAATAATAATAGAAATTAGATATCCTAACAAGGAAAAAAGAAAAAAAAGTTTAAAATATTTACGGAATAGGAAATTAATTTTGGCAAAGAATCCGAACCGATATACGCCTACCTTAAACCTCACCCAAATTCTATTAATTATTACACGCTTTTGCAGCACTCTGTGTCTGGTACAACATTTAAACCACTCACGAAGAGAGCTCGTGCTCCTCAATCTCCTCCCTCTTTATACTCCTTTCTTGGCCTCCATAAGCAACCTCTTGAAAAGTTCACTCGTCCCTCTTGTCTCGAATCTACCTGGTCCTCTCCTTTCCCCACCAAAAGAAAAAAATTATATATTAAATTTATGCAAAAACACACACATACATCTCCTTGATCTCTTGTTATCGAGAGGCTGGTTTGGCTTGGTTGGGGTTTTAATGGCGATATTATCTCCTTCTTATCTCCCATTCAAAGCCAAGAAACTCAATCTTTACAGAATCACAGTAACCATAATCCTATGTCCAATCTTTTATTTGGTAGGTTTTTATCAAAGCTCTCGTGGCACTATCCCTATTAACACAACAACATCATCCTCCAACTCCGTTTTTCTATGTGCCCCACCAAATCACAACACCACAACGCTTGACTTTGCCGCACACCACTTTGCTCCGGACCCGCCACCTCAGGTGGAGCGTGCGTATCACTTCCCTCCATGTGATCCTAAATACAGTGAGAACACCCCATGTGAGGATCTTGAACGTTCGCTGAAATTTGATAGGAATAGATTTATATACAGAGAGAGGCACTGCCCCGAAAGCCATGAGATTTTGAAGTGTCGTGTGCCGGCTCCGTATGGTTATAAGGTGCCGTTTAGGTGGCCGGAGAGTAGAGAATTGGCATGGTATGCTAATGTGCCCCATAAGGAGTTGACGGTTGAGAAGAAGAACCAGAATTGGGTCCGTGTTGAAGGTGAGCGGCTCAGGTTCCCGGGTGGTGGAACCATGTTTCCTCGCGGTGCTGACGCCTATATTGATGATATAGGGAAGTTGATCAATCTCAAAGATGGGTCAATAAGGACTGCCATTGATACTGGTTGCGGGGTACGTAACGTCTTCACTCTAATTTAGCCTTCGTTTTTTACTTTTTCAAGAGATGGACCGCCCGGTACATGACGAAACCGGTGGTTTAACGTTACTAATAGTTTTTTGGAGTTCGAGTTTTATCTTTATTTATTTTTATTTTTTTTGAAAAGGTTAAAACTAGATTATTTGTTGGTGAGGCTGGTTGGTTTGATTTTTGATTTTTGTTTTTTCTAATTCCGTGGCATTGGGATAATACTAGATAGGATGGTCCAAATTTCATTTCTGGGGCTAATTATAATTGAATAGAATGCGTTTTAATTTTCATTAGTGGCCTTATAGAAAGGGAAAAAAGCCTGTAGTTTTTGGGAAGAAATGGTATCAATCTGGGTAAATGTTCTTGAAAGTGAGATTTGATGCTAGCTATATCGAGAAAAGGTGTTTGCAGACAGTGGATTTATATAGCTCGGAATAGGTACAGTGTCATAAATAGTTGTGGGGTAGGTAGGTTTCATGGAAATGCAAATTCATGAAGTTATACGCTATAGTGCTATTATTCTGGGTCAACTATCTTCGAACTAGAAAAATTGATTAGGTTAACCCCCAGGCCGCACACCAAATTGATGCCGTTTCTTTGTGTATCACCTAAAACAGAGTACTTGCTCTTCCTGTTAATCAAGTCAAAGAGAACAAAAGTGGACAAATTAATTTTATTTTATCATTTTTCTTCTTTAAGTAAAACAAACACAATGCACTGTTTAATGGCACATGGATTCTTAGGTTTTGTTTGTTGGAAGACTAATAAATAGATAATAAGTTGTGTGTTACTTTTTAAAATTCTTCAATTTCAAGTAAAGTGGTTCGTAAGAGATAATAATTTGTTTAGTTTCTCATCATCCTTAGATTTTTGGGAATGCCTTTTGCTTATCTAAGTTACCCCATAAAACAATCATTAATTAAGAAGAGTCTCTAAAACTCAAAGTTCAACCTACTTTGATATATATATATATATACTGCTTGCCATTTGAAATTGAGTTTGATTATTAAAAACTAAGATAAGAAACACACCGTCGAAATATTCATTTCTCTGAATCAACCTTCTCATAATACATCAACGCATTGTACAGCCACCCCTCTCTTTTTTAATTTTTGTTACTTAAAAAAAGAATTCAACAAATTCATCTGATCATTAATCAAAATAATTTTGATTTGATTATTCCAAGGCTTATCTGAGGACAGTTATGGGACTTGTTCAATGTACACGTTATATCATGCAATTTTTTTACTACATAATGTATCTATGTTGACCTTGATTCCCTTGTTCTATTATTTAACGCTTCTATTTGATTAATTCTATCCCTTTAATTAATTTTGTATGCCTATAGTGAGATTAGAAATGGGTCCTTCTCTTTTTCCTCTTCTTTTCCTTCATATATATATATATATATATATATATATGTATATATATATATATATTATTTCGAGTTATTGACCTTAATGTTGCAGGTTGCAAGCTGGGGAGCTTTCCTTCTCTCAAGGAACATTCTAACAGTATCGTTTGCACCAAGAGACACTCATGTGTCTCAGGTGCAATTTGCTCTTGAACGTGGAGTCCCTGCATTGATTGGAATTATTGCTTCCATTAGGCTACCTTACCCTTCAAGATCTTTTGACATGGCTCATTGCTCACGCTGCCTCATTCCTTGGGGTCAATATGGTAATCCAAACCCTACATCGACTTCTAAGTTATTTTACGATGTATTATGATTTGATTTTTGGAATTGTACGAGCAGATGGACAATACATGATTGAGGTTGATAGAATTCTACGTCCCGGCGGATACTGGATTCTATCCGGGCCACCAATTAATTGGGAAAATCATTGGAAAGGCTGGAATAGAACACGTGAAGATCTTGGAGCAGAGCAATCTCAGATTGAGAAAGTAGCCAAAAGCCTATGCTGGAAAAAATTGGTGCAAAGAAAGGAGATTGCTATTTGGCAAAAACCCACTAATCATATTCATTGCAAAATGAATAGGAAGGTGTTCAAGCGTCCACTCTTTTGCAAGTCACAAAATCCTGACATGGCGTGGTAAGTACCTTTCAATTTGAGTTGGCATTTGTCTGTCCTTGGTTCTAATGTCACATGCCTTAGAAATCATTTGATCGGATTGCGTTAGGCATATGTCATGGCATAAAGATAGTGTTCCTTACTTTAAATAATGAACTTACTTTTGCAATACGTACAGGCAAAAGACATAAAATAATAATAATAATAATAATAAACTGAATAAGAAAAGAATACTCAAGTAGTGATACCAAAACCAATTGGTTAATAAAGGTCGTAGCCAACTGGCCAGTTGACAGAGCAACTCTTAGTTGAAATTTCTTTCTTCGTGATCCACAACTTTTGTTAGTTAACCTATTCAACCACCTAAACTCTTATTTTAGTGGCACTTTTGTTTCTTTTCTTTTTTTCCATGCCCTCTCTTTTGGGCACTTTATGCTTTGATTTTGTTGCAGAAACAAGTAGTAAATACGTCACTTTCAAAAGAAACAGTTTTGCCCTCCAATTTCCTACAGTGCTTGCTTGATGTTACACTGTTTGATTGATATTTCTTGTTTATTTTGTTTTCGGTTTTTAGGTACACCAAAATGGAGACTTGTTTGACACCGCTGCCTGAAGTGTCAAACATTAGAGATATAGCTGGTGGGCAGTTAGCAAAATGGCCAGAGAGATTGAATGCAATCCCTCCAAGGATTAGAAGGGGAAGTTTGGAGGGGATTACAGCAGAAAATTTCGTTGAAGATTCGGAGCTATGGAAAAAAAGAGTAGCATATTACAAGAAGATTGACTATCAGCTAGCACAAACTGGACGGTACCGTAACTTGCTCGACATGGATGCACATTTAGGAGGCTTTGCAGCTGCACTTGTTGATGACCCAGTGTGGGTTATGAACGTTGTCCCTGTCCAGGCGAAGATCAATACTTTGGGCGTCGTTTTCGAACGTGGCCTAATCGGAACATATCAAAATTGGTATGCTTTTAATCCCAATCTACTTGGATATAAGTAGTTTGATTAAGGGGCCAGTTGATTGGAATTTCACATAAATCATAATGTTAAAGAAAGAAACACTTCACCAAGAGTGATTAAGTAGTTTCACTAATTAAGGGAGCATTTCAAAACTAGCATTATTTAAAATGAGTCACGATACCTCCCTCATTGAGCTCCTTTTAACTCTGTGAAGAAAACTTAGCATTTTCACGCTCTTAAGCTAAACGAGGGTACCCTAGAAAAGCAGCAGGTAAAACAACCAGACCCACAACTGCTTTTTGGTGGTTGCTTTTGCAGATTCTATTAAACTTCTAGATTAGTCTATTTTTGGCTAGACTTGTTTGGAGTTACTAGTGACATCAGGCATGCTGATGGATAATATTTATTATTGAATCTATTGTTATCATGTGAATTATTGTTGTTGTTATTATTATTAGTCCACAATTCGTGACTGTGCTCAAGCTCATTCAATCATGTAGAGGTTGTTACTAACTAGTAGTAACTGCTGCTGATTTGTCTCTTTGCAGGTGCGAAGCCATGTCTACTTACCCAAGGACTTATGACTTGATTCATGCTGATTCTGTTTTCAGCCTCTATAAGGATAGGTAAATTTTTTTTTTATTATTATTATTTTTTTTGTTATTATGTGGCTTTGACTAAATGCAAATGTTGATCCTTACCTACTGATGCTTGACATTGCAGATGTGATATGGAAGATATTCTGTTAGAAATGGATAGGATTTTGAGGCCAGAAGGTAGTGTTATTATCAGAGATGACGTCGATATCTTGCTGAAGGTCAAGAGCATCATAGATGTCATGCAATGGGATGGCAGAATTGCGGACCATGAAAGCAGTCCTCACAGGAGGGAGAAAATTCTTTTTGCAACCAAGCTGTATTGGACAGCACCAAAACCAGACCAGAAGAATCAAGGACGACAAGTTGTTTCTTAGTGATGGAGATATCTTAATTTTTATTTTTATTTTTAACCTCAACGATTCTTTGATGCCCCTATGTTTTTTCTTTTTTCTATACATATGAAGGGCCTTCATTTGCAAAATGCTCCCCTTCATGTTTTTCTGAATCCACCATTTTATACTCTAATTGGCAACTTGCCGCTTAAAATTGAATATTTGGTGGTGTTATAACTACTTTGATAACGACGGAACAGTTTAAAGGAAATTACCCGATAGAACAATCATAAACTGCCGAAAGCTAATTCATAAAAGGTTTGCCAACCAATAAGCAACATCACCAACTTACATATGCAAGTGAAGCAAAACTACGTAGGCAAGTGGCTGAATCATTAACCATCAGATTACATTTGACGCATACGTACAGACCCAGTCAAACATCAAAAACAGATCCGAAGTTTAATTCCACATTCAGTCACTGCTCATCACTTCAATCAACTACACTACTTCAGCGGTGTTATCATCACTCTAACCAAGTAGTACAGGCTCACAAAACAACTGCGATCTTACATTTTACAGGTCCGTACTTCACAAGGGACGTTCAAAGCTAAATCAATTCCAGAAACAATGCTTCCTGCTTGTTGGTAAGACCAAGTTCATTCAAACTTAGAGAGATGTCACTGACAGAAAAGGCACGCCTGGGATATGGCCTCACCTGTCCAACAACAGAATGGAAGAATGAGTTGGAATGCATAAACACCCCAATACCAATCTAAATGTCTTGTTGAAAATGGTTAACATACAGGGGAAAGACATGGCTTAAACATTAAAATTAGTACAACCACACAATGAAACAAAGACCATCACCTCCCATCAAAGGGGGGATATAAAAAGTTTGTTGGGAGCTTATAAGAACCTTAGAATTGTGAATCTTTCATAGAATTACATGTTTGTATTTTAAATTCCCACAACTGCCAATATTTTAATTAGCTATGTGCCCCTACTGGTTATTCTCCATCTTCCTATTCCATTGCAGTGCATTATCTTGCTGGTAATTCCCCATATTTGCATTCGCATGCAAAACGTTATCTTATTGGATACCTATTTTGAATGATTTTCACTTTCAAATGCAACTAAATAAAACATCACAAAGACGAGAACAGTTCCCAGTTACAGAATAACATTATAATCATGCCAATCAGTAACGGCAAAAAGGTCCCACCATGTTACAACAGTACATGCACGACCACCTAGCACAACTACTGCCTACATTCATGGAAAAGATGTTAGAATTTTCAAAGATCAAACCAAAACCATTTTTCAGCCCGACTGATGGTTAAGTGAAGCTCTTATCAAAAGATAATAGCAAGGAAGATAATATCAACACTTACCACCCTGTAAGTTCCAGGCTTCACAGCTCTACTGACATCAATGAAGTCAAAAAGGAACTTCAGACAAAAACAAGGAAAGAAATCAGTGGAGCAAGAGAAAAAAAACATGTAAAATGTGAGGATTTTTGGCATAGTACCTGAAGCTTGTCAGACTTAAGAAAGCGACGGCCATGACGGTTGCCATCTGGCATACGAACAAGAAGAGTCACTGCATTCATGTCATCTGGAGCAGGTTCCTGTCCAAGTGAAGCTTCTTTTGCAGCGAGTAGTCTCTCAAATTCCTGTCATCATGGGGATATGTGTGTAGATGGGAATCTAATGCTTCCAGACTATCATTTTAATACAGCTGAAGGTTTACCAAGGGATATCAATCTTTCATGGATGTTTAAGACTAGACAGTGATTCAGTCAAATTCTAACTCCTTTGTTAAGTAAATCAGTGCATAATTTTGCACTTTATTCCAAATGTCTGATGCAAGTCTTTCTACTAAAATTATTGTGATTTAGTAAAATGATGTGTCCTACTGCTTTTTAGAGTCTAAATGAAAAAAATGTATACGAAGTTATCATTTTTTCCTTGATTTAGTACATGTGATTTCGTCATATGAGTATTACAGCCAATTTCGTTTCCCAGACTCATAAAATAAAAAGTAATGATTTGTAAAAGAAATTTTTTAAACAAAACATCATGAATACAGAGATGAAATAAATGGCCAGGAAGTTGAGTTTGAAGTACCACTACTGCCATTGTCTGTATTTGTGATCTTCTTGTCTTTTTTTTTTTTTTTTTAAAAAAAAGAAAGTTATTCAGAGCATTACTCTAAAATAAAACATATGATCTAGGACTGCTACAAAAGTGAATCATTGTTTGGAACCCACTTAAAAATCCTTCCTCAGTTTCATTTATATGACTATAACAGTATCCAGACCAAGTACCGAAGTTCTTTAAGCACAAAGAATATAGGAGACAAATGAGGTAGTTAAAAATTAAAACTGCAGCCTCAAACAATTTTTCAACTACAAATATATCACGTCATTCAAATAAAATCCTACAAGAAGACATTATACATAGGATAATAGGAATCCAGAATAATCAAATGTTAAATATTCAAATCATGCTAAACACTCAGCAATAACATAGCTCTATTTGTTACCTCTCCTTCAAGCATCTTACTTCGAGATTCTCCTTCCTTTGAGCAAGAAGTTTCAGCTCCCTTGAAGACACCAACATCTTTTTCTCCATCAGTCAACAGAGACGCAAGATATTCATCATTCTGCCAGTAAGATTTGATCCATTGTATCAGTGATGCTACTATAACGAAAATGCAACCATTAGCAATTTAGCAGAAAAGGACAGAACCTGTTGTTGTAGTAACTGCTGAGCCACATGTGAGGGTGATGGCAAAGGAAGCTGTTGATTGAGACCTGTACTTTTGTCTGGAACACCTTGCTGGCGAGGTGGACGTCGTGATAAAGTCTCTTCATGGATTTCACCAAAAAGTGACTCCTCAAGAAGCATCGCTTCATCAAGCTCCTTGGAAGAAATGCAACCCCACTATATTGCAGAGAAAGATGCAAACCAGATAATTAGTGTAGCCGTAATACAGACTTTAGTTTACTTTCTTCAACATGAGCTAACCAAAGATTCTTCTCCATGCTTTTCACTCACCAATAGCTGCTCTTGCCCATGTTCAGCTCCCTCTTGCAATGTTGAGCTTTTAGGCTTTAATTTCCAAAAAAAGGAGGGGAAAAATAAATAAATAAAGGGCCCTTCATTATATCTTACTTCAAACGGGAAAAAAATCAGGAGTGTGTACTGTCTATATTGTACGTAAAGGTTCTAATTATCATCTTTCTCCTTCTGCCCTATATTTCCTATTGTAGGCCTGATCATCAAAACAAGGTGCCATCTTAGCAGAGAACTACTTCTTGTGAAAAGACATCCAAATGAGCAATTTACATAAAACCAAGAAAAAGGTCCTGGGTTCTCCACCAGAGTGCCTTATATCAAATGACATAATAAACACATGCTCAAAAAATTTTGTGACTGCCCATTGTTTGAGTGACATATTTATATGTGGTGGACCATTGTGCATCCCAGTGTCTGTTAAAAATGACTGGCATTGTACATACTTTCTCTCTGTCAAGGTTAGTTGTCTCAGCTCTTCCACTTGAACCATGAACTCCTAGTTGTTTTCGATCTTCCAACGTCTGATCACGCATTGCTTTTTCTTGTTCTGCAGTCTGAAAACAATTTGCTATTGAAAGAAAAAATGACCATTACGTAGACACCAGAATCTGAAAACAAAGGCAAAATAGAAACCTTCAATGATAGTGATAGTGCACGAGCAAACTCATCATCTTCCAGGCAAAGCTGCCTCTGCAAAAGCCCCGTATCGGATAAATCATACATCAATGCATGAGGCAGGCATACAAAAAGCATAAACACAATAAAAATAGGCTAAAAAGGAGAAGTTAGTTTTGATATAGGTACAGTGAAAATCATTATTTACAGATAGGAACCATTTTCACCTCCTGAGTTGAAGCCTGAATAGCCATTTGAATCATCTCTTCCTCGACATCATTACCATGATGATGTGATTCAGCATCCGTTGGGCTACTTCCATGAATTTGTGAACCATGTGTAAATGTAGTAGTACCGCTCACACCCCCAATGCCAGACCTTGGTCCTGAATGATAAGGTTGCCCATAGCCATTATTAATGTCTCCATTGTGTGAAAACTGTGGCCCACTTCTAGTAGGGGAAACAGAAGCACTAATTTGGCTGTACAGATTTCTCCTGTAGTTTGGATCAAGAAGTAACGAAGGCCTAAAACTTCTAGCAGCAGATAGAAACGGTAAAATTCCACGCTGTCCAGAATGCACTTGATTTCTCGTATCCGCAAAATTATTTTGAGGGGAAGCAGCAGACAAATGATTTCTCCTGAATTAAATGCCAAACATATTAGGAGGAAAACCACTACTACATAATGCACGATACATTTGTTGCTTAAGTGCAGATGAGAAATCGAGATAAAATTAAAATAATAATAATAATTTAAAAATGTATCATATTATAAAATAATGCCATACGCGTGTCCTTCCAATTCAATAAAATGTGCATTCACAGCCTGATCAAGATTGCCTCCATATTCCTGGTTACCAAACAAACTTAGATCCGTTAGCAGAATACCACAATGATCATAATTTCTCTTGATCGGGAGTATGAATATTCACATTTGAACAAATTTGATAGGAATTAACAATGAATCAAAAACAAAAACCCTAGGAAACAAAGTAATGCGATGATTATTTCAGATTTTGCAAATTATAGTACAATAATGGCAGCGAATTAGAGTACAAACGAGTCAGATGAACAATATTTAGAGCTTAAGAGTAGTAAAAATTAGATTCACGAAGGTAAAAATGGAAGATCGGAAAAATGTAGCACCTCTAATTTTCGAACCGCGAGTGACTCAGACGCGCCGGTGATTCTCATGAACGTCTCGATCGCATCCTGAGTTGGTCTCGGCATTGCCGTCGATTTCCAACGGAAAAAATGAAAGAGTGTGCTCTGGACGAAGTAAGAGAGAGTAGGTTTCACCTTTGCAGTAATGCGGGCCGGGGCCGCAGAAAGTTAGAAACTGAAGAGAGCAGCAATGCACTGGTTTGCTTTCGCGCCCTCTTCAACTTTTTGTCGCCGAAGGTCATGCATTTGGGCCCGAGGATGCTATATCATGTTCACGTGGAACGCTGTTGAGCTCACACGTGGATTCTACACTGTGCGCTGTTAATATTCGAGCCTCCTTTCCCATGCTTGCCAGCAGTCTTCAGGAGTTTCTATCTGTAAATTACAAATTAATCCTTCTAATTTTGAGAAACTAATTAATTAGTTTCTCATGTTATAAAACCTAATCATTTAGTCATTTTTGTTCATATTATGTTTTTTCATTTGTTTTTAATAAAAAATAAATAAATATTATGAAAATATTTATAGATAAAGAAATATTTTTAAAATTAAATAACATTAAATTAAATGTGATTAATACTAATTAAAAAACTAAATAATTAATTTTTAAACTAAGAGTGACTAACTAATTTTTTTTCTAAAAGTAGACGGAATAATTTATAATAACTCGCTTTTTTATTTTGCTTGCAATATAATAATAATTTTTTCTATTAAGAAAATTAGTATTAATTTACGATGAGAAAAGCTTATAAAGTTTATTTCTCTCAATATCAATTTTGAAAAAATTTAGTGATGACAAAAAAAAACCCTCAAATTTATTCCATGGGTATTGACATATTACAAATTGAGTTTCAAGTCTTTTGAATTTTTTGAATTTTGTTAAAATATAATTGATATTAGATAATATCATCTCTTCATCCATCTATACTAGTAGATAAAAGATGTTGTCTAATTTAAGAGCACTAAGAACTCATGCGTAAATTGGATAAGATGTTTTGACTGCTATTAACGTGGATGGATGGATTGGTGACATGGCCAGACATTAATTATGTTTGGAAACATTTGAAAAAAAAAGATAAAAAAATCAAGAGATTTAGGATTCTATTGAATAACAGGGTAATAGCTTAGGGACTAGATTGAGGTTTTCACAAAAAAAACAAAAACAAAAGAATTCGGTCTTGCAGTAGTCATGTCATTACAATATTAGATAAAAGTTCATTTATACTCCTATGGAACATGTCACAGCGGAAGGAAAGGAACCTTCAGGCGCATAAGAAATGTCTCTAAGAGAAAGAATTGGGAATGCATGAGCTGGAATAAAGCAGAAGCCGTAATAATACGATATGAAGAAAAATCTGTATGGAAGACCAAAGAAGCCCGCAGGATTAAACGACAGGAGGACACAAAATGCTCAAGGATGTCATCCACTATGTTATTATGGAAACCCGGAGCATCAATAGAAGCGTGACTGAAAGGTCATCCACGTGGCAATTAGTAAAGCAGCTCAATGATTTTAATTTCAACGATTTTCTGATTATGATTAAAAATAATTCATAAGCACGCCAGACATATTAAAATTATATGCAAAACAAACTTGCTTTTATAAATTAGAATTTCGTTCATAAATTTTATTCATGCAAAACTTTTACTGATAAAGAACTTAACTTCATATTTAGATTTTTTTATTACAATTTTAAGAAATCAGCTAGTTTATTAACCAAAAACAATAAAAGAATAGAGGTTTTGCTATTCTTTCCCTCACAAATCATTATTCATTTTGTGATTCGTTTGTAATTTTGAAACATGATATTTTTGTATTTTTGACCGCTTTTGAGCATTAATATGCAATTTTTACATTATATTTTATCTTGATTCTTGATGTTTCAAAAAATATTTTTGGTCTCTAGATGGACTTGTCTTTTTCTTTTTGGCCTTTGTTTTTTTCATGCGTTTTTTCACTGAATTTTGGTTTTTAATAAATACACACACGTATAGATTATATTACTCTTATTGTTTAAAATTGATCTTTTTAATTTGTTATTTTTTTATGAAAATTCTCTTCAAATTAGTTTTTTATTCTTTTTTATGTAATTTTATTTGTTAACAAATATAATTTATTTTTTTCTATGTATTGATTTTTTAAAATAAATAATTAATTAAAAATAGAATTCATATGCTTCATTAGTTTATTCTTTATATAATCAAAATTTATCGAAATCGAGTTGTAGATTGTTTTTATTGTAGTTTATTAACTTCAATATATTCTTTATAATTTATATTTTTCGATTTATGTTGCACACAAAACCCATCGAATATGGCCATAATGTATAAAAAATAAATTAAGATCACTAATTTTACTAGAAATTAACTATGAGCCTATACACATGACATAAGCCATTTGTTATTCTTTTTTAACAAATTTAAAAATTAATTTCTTTCAAATAAAATAAGTAAAATGATATTTTAAAAGAACCACCTAATGATTACAATAAAATTTTTTATACTAATATTATTAATTATTTTATAAATAAATATACATAAATCAAATATACACATTATTAAAAATTTAGTCTTCTTATCAATATTAAAAAAACAATAAAAAATGTTCATTTGTTAAATTTTTATATGAAATTATTATTTTATTTCTTCGATGTAATCTTATTAAGAAATCATTAAGATGTTTTTAAGAATTTTATATTAAATTTTCTATTTAAAGTATCACATATTTTTATTTAAGAATAAATACACAAGGAATGATAAATCATGTTTTTTTAACAATAAAATTTAAAAAAAAAACACGAAAAAGAATAAATTCAATATAAAATTTTGATTAAAAATTATGAAATTAGATACAAAAATTTTATTTTCATTTTTATATATTTAGCTGACCTATAGATAGACTAACAAACTAAAATAAATTTAATTTGATTGTTTTGCAGTGTAACGAGAGAAGCCGGCCAAAAGAATAGAAAAAAGAAAAATTATTTCTTATGTTACTATACAATTAAAAGAGACATAGTGTTTGAACAATGAGTTTCATTGTTCACTCCCACGCAAGGCACTATTCATCCATTTTTTTCTAATTTCTAAATTACTTCATTTTGGTTCTTAGAATTTTAAAATAAAAATTTTGACCTCTTGGCTGATGCACTACACATTTTATTTTTTTGGTTTTTTTCCTTTAATTTTTTTCATCAATTTATTTATTTAACTCGGGTGTTAAAATTTTAAAAAATCAATCGTTATTTTTTTACACATAAACGACGATTATATAATATATACGATATGTTTTTAGATCTTAGAATAAATATATACTATTCTTATTGTTTAAAATTGATCTTTTTAATTTATTGTAAAAATTCACATCAAGTTAATTTTTATTCTTATTTTTATATTAAAAATTAACTATATATCTTTCAACATAATACAAATTATTTACTATGAATATTTTTTTTAATATTATAGAACCAATTTATTTGAAATAAAATAATTAAAATAATTTTTTAAATGAACCAACCAATTATTCAAATATAGTTTTTGACGCTAATTTTATTAATTATTTTGTAAATAAATATATGTAGATCAAATGCATATACTTAAAAAAAAAAATTCTCATTAGTATTAAATAAGAATACAATTTTATATAAAAAAAATATAATTTTAAAGTATTTGTTTTTGAATTCTTAATTAATATTTTAAGTTTAAATTATTATAAGTTTTTATTTAAGAATCCCTGAATAAAGAAGAATAAATCATATTTTTAAAGTAGAAATTTTATGAAAAAGCTATAAAAAATAGTTATAATGAAATAAAAAATTAATGAAAAAATTATAAAATTTTGAAATGATTTTATTTTATCTAAGTGTAGCGTTGTACGGACAATTTCAAAAATTAATCTTCTCATCAACATTAAATAAGAAATTTTTTTTCATTTGTTAATTTTTGTAAAATTTTTTTCATTAATTATAACTTTATTTTTTGGGATACAATATCATGAAAAATTATATTTTTAAAGTTTTTTTAATTCTTGATTGATATTTTAGTTACAATTATTATAATTTTTTATTTTAAAATCAATTCATAAAAAAGAATTATTTATATTTTTTTAAGTAGAAAATTTATAAAAGATATTAGAAAAAATTAAATAAATAAATAATTATAATTAAAAAAGTTTAAAATAATTTTATTCTATTGGACGTGCATAGCGAGTGCGGGAAACACTTGTCATCAATAAAATTAAAGTAAAATCATCATTCGCTATTCATTTACTATTTGAAATACTATTCATACACTTACAAATCACTATTCCTTTCACTATTCATGTCATTTTTGTAATACTTTAGTTCTCAATTTTTCTATACTTTTTTTTTCAATTTTAAACTTTAATTGTATTGTGATTTAATCTTATTTTTTTAATATTTTTTATTAATTATTTTTATTATTTAAAATTTACTACTTTAATTTGTCATTTTTAAAAAATTCTCATCCAATTAATTTAAAATTATATTTATTGATAATTTTAATTTATTTTTCCATATCTATGGATTTTGGAATAAATTTTTAAAGCATGATTATTTTTTCTTTTGAAAAATAGATTTAGATAATTTTTAAATTATAGTGGCATGATAAATATATATAATTTGTCCGAAATGCATTTTTAGATTAAAAGTATATTTCAAATAATTTTTCATGATTTTTTCATATTATTTAAAATTTACTACATTAATTTGTCATTTTTTTTAAATCCTCATTTAAAAAAAAATTTCAAACTTTGATTAATTGTGATTTGGTTCTGTTTTGTTTTATTGTTTTTTGTTAATTATTTTTATTATTTAAAATTTACTACTTTTGTTTGCCATTTTTTTCAATTCTCATCCAATTCATTTAAAATTATATTTACTAACAGTTTTGATTTATTTTTCTATATATATGAATTTTGAAATAAATTTTTAGAACATGATTATTTTTTCTTTTGAAAAATAGATTTAGATGACTTTTAAATTACGGTGACATGATTATATATTTATAATTTTTCTAAAATATATATTTAGATTAGAAGTGCATTTCAAATAATATTTTCTCTGTTTTTTTTTTAACTCAAATTAATTAATTAATAGTTGAAAGTCAATGTGAAAAAAAAAAGATAGTTGCTATGCGGGTGAAGCTTGTATTCAAGAACTAGCCATGCATATCATAGAAATAAAAAAGAATATTTAAGAAGGAAGAAAAGAAAAAGAAAAAGAATTCACATATTTTATTAATTTTTTTCTTTATATAATCAAAATGAATCGAAATCACATTTTTAATAATATTTAGTTTAGTCTATTAACTTTAAATTTAGTCAATATATTCATTGCAAGTTAACTTTATTTGTAATATTTTTTATTTTAAACTAAAAATCTGAACTCACTTAGTATAGTTATAATGTATAAAAAAATGATATTTTCATCAGTATTAAATAAAAAATAATAATTTGTTCAATTTTATGTATGTTTTTAATGATTGTTATTTATGTTTTTTGACACAATGTTATGAAATATTAAAGTTTTTTTAAAAAATTATTTAATTTTCTTTTTAGTTAATAATCCATGGATTAATAGAGATAAATCTTTTTGTAAAAAAAAATTAAAAAAAAACAGTTAAATATAAAATTTTTAATTAAAAAATTATAAATATTTTTTTAATGTTTAATTATATATATTTTTATAGATTCATGTCATAAAAAATATTCTCAAACCGAAATGATTTTTATAAACGATTTTATATATTTTAATAGTTACGCAGCAGATTGCGGTAAAAAAACTAGTTAAGGACTAAACTGAAACGACGTCGACATTAGGTGGCTTTAGTAGATAACAAACGTCCATATAAAAGCCATCGTCCAGGGCTAAGTAGAAAAACAACCAACAGTAGCAAATTCCCCAACTGTAAAAAAGCACAAAAAAACCCTAACCCCAAAATTCTCACTCAATGGAACCCGACGACGAGATTTATGCCAACGGCGGAGCCGATAGCTCTGAGAATCGAAGCAGACCAATTATAAGCAGCGAACAACTTGACATCGAAGCATACGCCGGACTATACTCAGGGAGAACGAAAATCACGCGATTACTGTTTATCGCGGACCGGTGTGGTCAGAATAATAATACGGCTATGCAAATGGAAGCGCTCCGAATGGCTTACGAGGAGATCAAGAAAGGAGAGAACACGCAATTGTTTAGAGATGTAGTGCAAAAAATTGATGGGAGGTTGGGGAATAATTATGGGATGGATAGTGTTTGGTGTGAGATGGTGGATCGGAGAGCCGATCAGAGGAAAGAGAAGCTTGAGAATGAACTTAATGCTTACAGGGTAATGGCAATGTTTTTTATTTTTTTATTGCGGGTTTGGTTCAGTGATTGTTGTTTTTTTTTTTTTGGTAGTTTGTTGAATTCATATTATGTTTTCAGTTATGCTGGAAAGCTAGTCTTAATTATTGGTATCAGGGGAAATAATTTGAAAATAGGTTTTTTCTTTTCTTTTTTTCTTCTTGTTTTGTTTGTTTTAGTGATGATTATTTTGTCAATTTAATGCCGCCTCCTTTTTTTTTAAGACGGGGCGGTGTTTGTATTTTTTTGCTGTAATAGCAGTCTTAATCATCAGTTTTTTAGGGGGAATAACAGGAAAAAAAGTCCTCTCATTAGATTTTTAGTTTAAAAACTCCTATAAATTCGTGTGGAAACTAACTTTCAGTTTCGCTGGCTTACTGTAGCTTCCTCAACTTTTATTTCCTAGAAAAGGATATTATGTAGTTATATCTCTGTAACATTTTTATAATTTTACTTCTGATCATGACTGTAGAGATTATGGTGTAGGATTAATATGTCAGCAAATTTCTCCCCTTTTTTTACTATCATGACTGTTTTTGGTGGTGTGATTTACATTTTTTTATTTTTTATTATTTATTTTTTGTGCAGACAAATTTGATCAAAGAAAGCATAAGAATGGGATATAATGATTTTGGAGATTACTATTATGCTCATGGTGCCCTTGCAGATGCTTTTAAAAGTTATGTCCGCACTCGTGATTATTGCACTACATCAAAGCACGTTATTCATATGTGCATGAGTGCGATTCTTGTAAGCATTGAGATGGGTCAATTTACTCATGTCACAAGCTATGTCAGCAAAGCAGAACAAACAGCTGAAGCTCTTGACCCTAGTACTGTTTCAAAACTACGTTGTGCTGCTGGATTAGCTCATTTGGAGGCAAAAAAATACAAGCTTGCAGCTCGGAAGGTTTGTTTTACTTGTGTGCTTCCAATGTATTCAGTTCACCATGAATATTGTCGGTTTTTTTTTTTTTTTTTGGGTTTTTTCTTGTAGCTCATGTATTATTTTAAACTGAGCACTTTTAGCATTACAATTACATAGGATGCAGTTAAGACAGGTGGAAAGTTTTGTTACATAATTGGGCAACACAGCTGATATTTGCTTTTTCTGTGCGTGTGTTTCCATTATCCCATTACTGGTTGTCTTCAAGTGCTTTTGGTTACATAGTGTGAGCTGCACTTCCTGTGATCTTCCTGGCTGCTGCCATAATTGCATTTTTTTGAGTATCCTCTGGGATTATTAAGTTTAGGATTATGTTGGCCTTCAAGAATGGTTTTTATTTTGTTCTGGTTATTGATGGAATATTGTATAGGCATTGAACCTTTTTGTTTAACTGCTGAAAACGTGAAGTGGAAGGGTGAGCCTTGTTTTACTGAAATTCAGCTGCTCGGTTATGTTGATGAATCAAGCACCTTCTTTTGTGCTTATCCCCAATATTTCTTATCTTGGATGGGCTGTATTCTGGACATTTAGATGCAACTCACTTCTTTATCTTAATTATATTCTTACTTTGGGTATGCTATGTTTCTATGGGTACAGTTCCTGGAAGTGGGTCCTGAATTGGGAAATTCATACAATGAAGTTATTGCTCCTCAAGATGTTGCAACATACGGAGGACTTTGTGCACTTGCAAGTTTTGACCGGACAGAGCTCAAGGTATTCTTTCTTTAAAATCATCATCTTCTTCTCCTTCTCCACCTCCTTGTTAATCTTGTTTTTCACTGGCTTCTTAATGTACTTCAGAGGTAGTTCCTAATCAATGCTTTTGTTTGGCAGAACAAAGTCATTGACAATCTCAACTTCCGTAATTTCTTGGAGTTGGTACCTGAAGTGAGAGAGCTTATCCATGATTTCTACTCAAGGTAACTCATTGTGATGGTGCACAATTTGATTTGTTTTTTTTTAATGCTTTGACTTTGTGATGATATATTCTTGCAAAGTGGGAGTTAGCCATTGAGCTCTATGTAGTAACTCCTAAACAAATTTGTGTTGGATAGATATGAGCAGATTTTGGATCTTTACTTTTAATCTAATTGAAATCTTGGATTTGACTTTGAGAAGGTGGTTTCTTTAATACTTGGAAGATTTTTTATGCTTGCTCAATTTTTCCAAGAGCTTGTCACCAGTTATTATCTCTGGGTTCAACTTTTCCAAGGTCCACAGGAAACCTTTGTGGGTTAAACTTTCTGTTTTTCTATAACTGTTTTTTTTTCCACATAAAGAACGGGGAGAAAACCTGGAAAAGAAGGAAAATAAGGTTCCTTCTCCTTTCAGCTTGGTTGTATCAAACCATGGAAATATAGAAGGCTGCTTGGAGTGTGTGCATTATAATGTCAAGAGTCATATTAAACTCCAATTGGTAGCCTGCAACATTTTTTGTCTTCTTATTTCAGTATCTTTTTCCATCAGCTTGCCGTCAGCTGAGCTCACATTCATGTTTGTCAATATATCACTGTTTGACTCTATTTATATCTTGTAGTTTGGTTGAGTTTTCTATTTTCTTTTTCAATGCCTTTTATCATAAGCTTGCCGACAGTTATATCTATGCTTTGGACATGAAGCCTGCCGTGTAAACAAAATTCACTCCTTTTCTCCGTTTTCTGTTGCAGCCATTATGCTTCATGTTTGGATTACCTGGGAAATCTGAAAGCAAACCTGATGCTCGACATCCATTTGCATGACCATGTCCAGCCACTGTATGATCAAATCCGCAACAAAGCTCTCATTCAGTATACACACCCATTTGTGTCTGTTGATCTGCACATGATGGCTAATGCTTTCAAAACAACCATTGCGGGCTTAGAGAAAGAACTCGAAGCCTTGATTACTGACAATCAAATACAGGTTTGGCTGGCAATTGGCATTGCTGTTTTTTTGTTCATTTATCTAGCTTAAATAGAAAATGTCTAGGTTTAGGAAATAGCCTGTGACTGGAATTACCTGACATTCACAATGTGGTTTTGATCTTGTCTGGTCTTCTTTCAATAGTTTCGGGTATATTCATTGATTGTTTTGAGGTCTCACTGCAAAACTTTTCATCCTATTGTACAATTTATCTCAATACATTACTGATAAGATTATCATGCCTTTGCAGGCACGAATTGACTCACACAACAAAATTCTATATGCACGGCATGCAGATCAAAGGAATGCCACTTTCCAGCGGGTACTGCAGACAGGCCGTGAGTTTGATAGGGATGTTCGAGCAATGCTGCTGAGGGCAAATCTTGTCAAGCATGAATACAAGGCTTCTAGGAAACTTTAAATGAATTTCCAGTTCGACTGGGACAATCGGAGATGTGGCCAACACTGTCTTGATTGGTTTATTGGATTCCTGACCTTGGGTCTTCTGGTGCAGTGAATCGGAGTTTTAAATCTTCAAACAAAATTGGTTTCCCTGGCAGAAAATAGCATTTTGGAGGATTGCAAGATTCGATTTCCCCTTCGCCAAGTTCTGGGTTTTTTTTTTGTTTTTTGTATATACTTGGATTTATTTAAGAAGTTGCGACTACTGATTTTTTGTTGCTCTCTCTCTTTCCATTTCCTTTTGGCCTTGGTTGCTCGTTTTACTAGATATCTCGTGTTACTAATTATTTGTGTCGGTGACAAGTGGATGCATGATAAAATAATGTGAGCTCAATTGAATAGCCGGATTGGATACTAGTCTCTTGGAAGGGCGAGAGGAGCTTTGGTTATGGTATTTATTTGCAAGTGAAATCCAGCGACGATATGCCAGGTCTTCTAATGAGTTTTACGTTTGTGGCCGTAAGCCTTCGAATGACTTGGTTCTAATTGAATCTTTATTTACTAGAAATCTTGCGGCAGGCCCAATAGAGCAATAATAATTGATCCAATGCAATGGTCACCACAACAACAGTATTTTTAGTATTTCACAACTTCCACATATGTAACATGGCAAATTTTATCCTCGTGGTATTAAATTATGTAATTTAAATTTTAAATTATGGGTTTTTAGATAAAATTAATTTAATTTTTTTAATTGTTGTTATATATAATGATCAACTAAGTTGATGGTTATAAGAAATGTTAAAACGATATTGTTTTGACATTTTATTTTTAATTATTTTTAAAAAATATTGTTTAAAAATATTTTTTAAAAAATATTTTTAACCCTTCCATTCTTGAATTTTTTTAAGAACTTTGTTTCTTATAAAATATTATAAGTCTATTATAAATTATATTTAAAATATTTTATAAATATTTTTAACTCCCTAATTTTGAAATTTTTTAAAATATTTTTTATAAAATATTATAAACATTTTATAAAAAGTTTTTTTTATATAATTTATAATTTATAAAATTAGGGAGGTCAACCCTTAATTATGCTCATTTTAATTAATAAAATATTTTTTTTAAAAGGTTTGAAGTTGTGCGTTGTTAATCATGTTTTTTATAATATTTTTTTATAAAATATTATAATATCTAATGAGCATTAAAATTTGATATAAAATATAATATTTTATAAATTAAAATGAGCATAATTAAGGATTGTATTTGTACCCCTGATTTTATAAATTATAAATTGTAAAAAAATATTTTTTTATAAAATATAATATTTTATAATAAAAAAGTTTTTAATAAAAGTTCAAAATTAGGAGGGTTAAAAATATTTTTTATATATAATTTAGAAAAAAAAAAGTTTAAGAAAAAAATCAAGATTAGGGAGGGTAAAAATATAATTAACGAGTGGAATGTTAAAATGATGTCATTTTGACATTTCAAGTAATGTCAATCTAGTTTGGGTTTAGATATAACTATAATTATAGAAATCATATCAATTTTGCCAATAAACCAATAGCTTATGATTCAAATTACGTAATTTGATACTAAAGACATGAAATCACAAAATCACATAGAATGAGGATAAACTTTACTATTAAACTTATTACTCTTTGAGCAAGTTGGCTCTATTCAGATGTTAGCTCAATATGAATTTTTCCAGCATGCAAAGTGAACGCAATTGTCATCACAACAACAGTGTTGTTGTGTGACTAAGTGAACACTTCTGTGGCTGGAGATGACTTGGGCTATACTGCAATCGTCTCCATGGAAATTTGGTTTCATGGCAAGGCAAAAAAATTACTTTTAAATTATTAGATTATGCCAATTTAAAATCCATACTATCAATTTAAATTATTTGGATTCTAAAATATTATTTTTTGAATAAATGTTAATTTTTTTTATTATCTCTATCGATCAAAACATTGACCATTAATTAGAATATGGTTTAGTGGCAAAATTTACTCCTAAACTATTGTGGCTAAAGCAAAATAAGGTCTATGCTTGCATCAATTTGAGCTATTTGAACCTCAAATTAATAATTTCTTGATAAATTATGTCCTTCTTCATTAATTCAAATAACTAAAGAGTTGATTATTAATTAAAATTTATATTTTAAAAAAATTAAAATTTTTTTTACTAGATGAATCCATTGCAAACCATTAATTATCTAGAACAAAAATAAGATCCATAAAAAAAAAAAAATCATCCAAGCTACATTAAAGCTAATTATTATTAAGTATTTTTTTCAAAATTAATTTTAATTCTTAAAAAATTTTTAATAATTCAGTTAAACATTCTTAAAGCTAACTATTATTAAAAAAAATTAATTATTTTAATTCTCAAAAAAAAAAAGTCAACACTCTGACTATAAAAAATAATAAAAAATGATAAATTTTTTTTCAAGAACTAATAGTTTATGGTCCAAATAACAAAAATTGACATTATAAGTCTTATTTTTTCACGACCATATTAGTTTGGGAGTAAATTTTTCTATTAAATTATATTTCAATTGACTGTTTGAGATTATGGAAAAAAAATATTTGTCTAGAAAAATAATAATTTGAAATCCAAATAGCACCAATTGGTAATATAGGTCTTAAATTGCTATAATTCAATAGTATAGGAGTAATTTTTGCCATAAATCATGGAAACTTTGCTGATCGGAGATCTTTCATGCCTAAACACAATATCAAATTGCCTTGGGTTTTTTATGTACCATGATTAGTTAGTACATGTAATGCGAGCAGCTTAGAGCTCGAAGCACTGCCTGTCTTCATAAGCAAGAGTCGTCATAAGCTCTCATTCATTTCTCCAACTTCATCTCCTAGTCTCTTAATTATTCATATGTAGCAGGTTGTAGAGGGGGCTTTTTGAGAACTGATAAGATGATTGGCCTCCAGGATAGTCAAAATGTAAAAAATTAGTATTGTGATTTGTAAAAACAATAATCATCCAACCAAATAGAAAAGATGTAAATAACGAGAGGCATGGGAGAAAAATCAGGCAATGTTAGCAAAATACAAGTTATGTGGCTGACAAATTGGTATTCAAGGTCTAAATAGATGGAGTTTTAGATGTTGTCCGGTATATGAGTGGAAAAAATTAGAAAAGGAGAATACGAGTGTTTTTTTTTTTTTTTTTGCTAAAAATTGAAAGTTTTGAAGTCAAAAGTTCTCTAATACAAAAGTTTTGATCTCCTCATAATGATATGAGGTTGGTATTTATAGTGAAAGAAGATGACCCTTGATCACTAGGATCATGTCATGTCATACAAGTTTGAACGGTCGGACTTATCTTGAAAAATTTAAATTATTTAGGCTAAACTCGTTTTAACTTATTTGTAAAGGCTAAAGAAAGTAACAATTGAATGTTTTTTTAATGGATCCTGTTCAGAGCCCACCAAATGAATCTTTTTATTGTATTCCAATGACAAGAAATGAACATTGGTTCCGTCGAATATCAATGTCCATCTTTACAAGTAATAATTTTAAATAATAGCCGTTACGTTATATAACGATTTCGAAGCATTCCGTTATCGTTATTTTAGTATTATAGTAAGTCACGATTTGCGATAACGACTCGTGATCATTTTTTCAACTATCCGCTATTTAAAATTATTACAACCCATGACCTTGCGTTAGGTGAAGTCCATCCTCAGTCAATCTATTTGTAGCGTAGTTTGGATTCATGTCAAAAATCAAGAAAAATAATATAAATCAACATATAATAACAAATTAGCTTATTTTAATTAATTTTTTATGGAGAAATTGAACCTATACACAGGTATATGAGGATAATTTTCTTTTATTGACAAGTGATGCTGTTGTATTCTTTCAACCCCTGAATCGAATTGTTTTATAGTCATTTCGGATGTAGAATGATTTACTAATGTATTAAGAGGAACAACTTTTTGAGCTCTCAATAACAGCTCAGGCTCCATAAATTGGCAGTTTTGTTGGTGTGATAGTCAATAGATGTATGTGATTATACTCAGTTTGCTTCGATTTCTTCTATGCTTCATTTGTAGTCCATTAGCTGATAAATCTCCTGATTTAGTTATTGGTTTGTTTAAATAGTTCTTCGAGAATCGATTTGCAAGATTGAAATTAGCCTAATAAAAATTGTAGGACATATTAGTGCACAATTGAAATCTAGCTTCAGTTTGTCGGACCGCATCACAACTTTTTCTTGATATCATCCTCAGATCCTTTTCGTCTTGTGACTTCCCAACTCATCACTGGCAAGACAAAGGATCCATAAGTTTAGTAAGCTAACATCAGAAAAACACCACACGAATGCATATTCCTCAATAAAACAAACACCTGCTTAAGCAGCATTATTAACTGAATGAGATTGAGCAGGTGCAGGTTGATCATAGGACTGAGAATGATGGTCGTAATTTCCCTACGAGTTCTCTACAGAAAGATCAATCCAAATACCTGTATTTCACAGAGTGACAACTACATTATGGAATTGGTAGTTTATTTTTCCATCAAATAACTTCCAACGATATCACTTTCAGTAGAGAATAAGGAGTCTGCCTTTATCCTCCACACCATCCAAATTCTCCCTCTACATAAAAGGGACTTGATTTGCATCCATTAACAGCTAAAATTTGATCTTTTTCCATAAGGACTACAGTAGCAATGCAACTTGAAATGTGAGTGATATTTAGAACTCAGAAGTCCCTTAAGATTTTTTTATATGAGTCGAACAAAGTGAGCCGAAGAAAAGAAAAACAAAAAAGCTTGTTAGTTCAGCAACTTGATGAAAAAGAAAATAAAAGAAAAAGCTCGTGCATTGTCTAGGACAATGCCTCCTTTGGAATCTCTACATTCGTTGCGTCATCCAGCAACTATCACAAACTCCTCTGGAAAGTGGGAACTGTGCAACATTGAGAGATGTGTGAGACATGAATCGAAGTACATGCATACTACACTATCCCTCAAATATTTTCAGGTATGATTCTCTTCCAAGATTTTTGCTTTCCAAAAGGGAAATGTGACTGAAAATATCAAGCAAATTGAGTAAGAAGATCAACATCTACTATTCAAATGCCCCTAACTGTTCAATCAAGTGAACAACAACCGGATAACGATTGATACACAACTTCACGAATCCAATTTGTACATTATATTCAAAAACCAGATAGCCGATGCATTGATCCAAAAACAGTAAGTTAAAGGACTACTTTGCTTAACCCAAAACAGAAAACAGAGAAATCATAGAAAATTACATCACAAGCCACAACAATTAGTTATTGCATCTGCCATCTTGTAAAAAACATACAAAGGAGAAGACTTTGATGTATTTGTTGAACTACAAATAAATACAAGCATGAGGTAAAATGGGAAAATCCGAAAAAGAATAAATGTTCAAAAATCACCAATCTACCCCACAAAAGCTCAAAGACTGCTCAAGGAAGAAGAAATACCGGCTAAGTTTTAAATAAAGTTGGTCGAGCTCATCATCTGGTTATGGTTAAGCAACGGAAAATCCATAAAGCGTTGTTCATCACATGATAATTGCTGGAGTGACTTTGTTGGTTGCAATAGTCCCATAGCCAAGAATAAAGTATTTCTTGAGAAGTTTTGCAGCCATCTTACAGCAGCTAGCTCACCAACATGAGCATCAAACATTGCCAACATGCCCATTTTATATAACATGAAAAGAAGAAGAAGAAGTAAATTCTTTACAAACTAACGGCGACAGAAAAAGCCACAGAACAGAAGGTATTCTAATTCGCATCGTAAATCTTTCCATTATTTCCACTCCTGAGAAAAATCGATGAAGGAAAGCAGAAGAAAACATTACTGGTGAAATTTCAGGACTCGGAAAAGATACGGATCCACTGAATCGGTCACTTGGCCCACAGTTGGTTTTGTTTTGTATGGGCCTATTTTTACATGGGTTTCGGTATTACATAGGCAAGGAATCGTAACAGTTAGGCAGATAGATTATGGTTTTGGCAATCGGCCTATTTTGTGGGGTTTTAGTGGGTGTTGCCTTGCTCCACTTGATAAAAAATAGGATCAACTAATGATCATTATCATGTTGGATTCTCATTTTATGCTAATAAATAAAGGAATATTTAATGATTTCTCACTCTATAAAAAGTTTCAAGAAGCATGGGTAAATCCGTAAATGTCTGAAAAAAGGATTAAATTTGAAGTTCAAATGATTTTAATTGAACAAGTTGAAGTAATGTCAGTCAGCCCTTGGCAGCAGCAATTCACACTTCACATGGCCTTCCTTCGAATGAGTTTTATTTTATGGAAGATATGGAGTCCAAGATTTTTGACCCACCACGAGTTTGCTCCATGTTATTCAGACTAGATCTATCTATGTAGATACGCAAGTTGACGAGTACCCCTTACGGAGAAGAGAAACAAGTCGTCTGTTTTGACCCTTGTTTTACGATGCTTAAACTACAATCATTTAGGAAGCATCTCATCTTAATTTTAGGATTAAGGACTCAATAGTTTGCTTGTTATGCTAACAATAGGATATATAATATTACTTAACTCACGACAGTATAGTACTATTGCCAGATCATCTCATGTAATAAATAGATTTAGTTTTGGTAAAAATAGGAAAATTTTAGAAAAAAATCGAGATCAAATAGATTACCGCGGTAACTTTGGTCTAATCGGAACTAATTCCTTTGGCTGTGAGAATCCACTTTCATCACAGCACGACAGCTTTTCCTTTTCCGTTTCCCATTTTCACCCCAGCTGTCCCCCTCATGCCCAAACCGCTACATTCACTCACAGACCCATCACTGTCATGTGAACATAATCTCCCTCCTCTACTCACCGTCACCTCCAACATCTCGAAGAAAACCAGAGCCACACCTTCCTCTCTTCCTCGTGGAGTCCCAAACCAAACTGAAAACCCCTCCTGTATCCACCAAATCACGAAAATATCCATGATCGTCATTTAATCAGATCTAAAAAATCAAAATGGGACACCTAACACTGCCCGCATCGAAACGAAACCCACGCCACTGGAAACTACTTGATTTAGTAACGGCAACATTCTTCGGTTTAGTCTTCCTTTTCTTCCTTCTAGTCTTCACTCCACTCGGCGACTCGCTTGCCGCTTCAGGCCGCCAAGCACTTCTTCGCTCCACCTCTGATCCAAGCCAACGCCACCGTCTTGTCGCTTTAATTGAGGCGGGGCAGAATGCGCAGCCGATTGAAGCTTGTCCTGCGGATGCAGTGGATCACATGCCTTGTGAAGATCCTAGGAGGAATAGTCAGCTGAGTAGAGAAATGAACTTTTACAGAGAACGTCATTGTCCTCTCGCGGAGGATACTCATCTTTGTTTGATCCCACCGCCTGACGGTTATAAGATTTCTGTTCACTGGCCTGAGAGTTTGCATAAGGTATGCAGTTTTGGTAAATTTCTTGTTTGGTTTGGTTTTTTTTAATTAGAATGTGAGGTTTTTTGTAGTTTAATTAGTTCATTTACGTGTTCTAATGGTCATATTAGTAGTAATGGGATTATTTTCTATTGATTTTGTTAGTTTAACTAGTTCATTTCCGTGGTTTCGATTTTTTATTTTTTTTATTATTGTATTGGTATTTTGTATTGACATGCATTTGTTTTTTCCTTTTTTATATTTTGATGTTCAGATATGGCATGCGAATATGCCGCATAATAAAATTGCCGATAGGAAAGGTCATCAAGGATGGATGAAAAGGGAAGGAGAGCACTTTATTTTCCCTGGTGGTGGAACAATGTTTCCGGAGGGTGCTGTACAGTATATTGAGAAGCTTGGGCAGTATATTCCTATCAATGGTCGGGTTTTGAGGACTGCTCTTGATATGGGATGTGGGGTAGGGACTACTTTTTAGCTTTTGTGAATTTTAGTTTGTAAAGTTGTTGATATTGGGGTTTTCTTATGATATAATTGTGTTCTAGGTTGCTAGTTGGGGAGGATATTTGCTGAACGAAGGGATTTTGACCCTCTCATTTGCTCCAAGAGATTCGCACAAATCACAGATACAGTTTGCATTGGAGAGAGGGATTCCGGCTTTTGTTGCTATGCTGGGCACTCGCAGACTCCCGTTTCCTGCATTTTCATTTGACTTGGTGCATTGCTCCCGATGTTTGATCCCTTTTACAGCCTATAGTAAGTTCTTCATTACTTGTATCATTCTAGTATGTTTTTGTTTTCCTCGAATACAACCTGTGTTGTTACATTAAAGAGATCTGGTTTGGCAGATGCATCTTATTTTATTGAAGTAAATCGGTTACTTCGTCCTGGAGGATATCTTGTCATTTCTGGTCCTCCTGTACAGTGGGCTAAACAAGACAAGGAATGGGCTGATCTCCAGGCCGTGGCAAGAGCGTTGTGTTATGAGCTGATTGCTGTGGATGGAAACACTGTCATATGGAAAAAGCCCACTGGGGATTCATGCTTGCCCAACCAAAATGAATTTGGTCTTGAATTGTGTGATGAATCAGATGACCCAAGTGATGCGTGGTAATTGTCTAATAATGCATCTTCAGTTTCTAGAAGTTAAAGAGTGTTTTTGCTGCAACTTGGATGATGGCAACACTGCCATTGTTCTTTTCTTTTGACCATCTTGCAACTAATGCATTTGGTTTAGCTGCAAATTTGATAAATTTGCCTTTAGTTAGCTACCTAATCAGCTGAGCTCCTGGCTTGAGATGATATTCATTTATTTGCAAGGGAACATCATAAACATGGAAGCTAAGCTCAATTATGTTACAGGTACTTCAAGTTAAAGAAATGTGTGAGTAGGACGTCTGCTGTGATGGGGGATTATGCTGTTGGGACAATTCCTAAGTGGCCCGATAGGCTAACAAAAGCTCCTTCCAGGGCTGTGCACATGAAAAATGGGATAGATTTGTTTGAGGCTGACACACGGCGCTGGGTAAGGAGGGTGGCATACTATAAGAATTCTTTGAATGTGAAGCTAGGAACCCCAGCCATACGCAATGTCATGGATGTGAATGCATTTTTGGGAGTTTTGCAGCAGCACTCACATCAGATCCTGTGTGGGTGATGAATGTCGTTCCTGCTCGCAAACCATCTACGCTTGGTGTAATATACGACCGAGGCCTTATTGGAGTCTATCATGATTGGTGAGTCACTCCCGGCCCGGTACCAGAACTTTATATGTAGAATACTACTTATATCAGTCATATTATTGATGATCTCGCCTTCATCGCCTTCGTATTTAACTAAAATCATGGATATATTTGTTGCACATTCTTGAAGCTGTGTGCCAACTGTCAAGAGAGTGGTGGTATGCAGTCAGAAAGGAAAAAGAAAAGTCCTTTGTCGAACATGCTTCTCAGATCTTGAATTCAAGATCCTAATCACCCATCTATTTTTTGCTTGGTTATTTCTCTATTGATCTGTATTTAAATATTCTAATGGAGTAATTTATATATGGCAAAGTTTGTATTCTTTCTATAATTGATAAATCGAGGACATGCTGGTGATAAGATGCTTCCTTCTTTGGATATGATATCTGTTAATGGAAGTGAACTTTGATGGCATTAAACATGTCTCCTTTCTCTAATTGATGTTAGATGCTGTTGATGGAAGTAAACTTCGGTGATATTAAATCAGATTTGGGGTTAACTATTTTGCTCGATCTTATTCCTTTTACTTATTGTGTCAGGTGTGAACCGTTCTCAACATATCCTCGTTCTTATGATCTCATCCATGTAGCAGGCATTGAATCACTACTAAAAACGCCTGGTTCAAGCAAGAACAGGTACTTCTAATCTTCATTTTCTCGTTATTTTCCGGCACATATATGGTGTGAGATGATATAAGGATTTTTCTTTCTTATTTTCTGTTTTTATTAAATGGAAACACTGGACTGTTCCTTGAATTTTGAGTGAGGTAATTTCAATCTGATGAACTTCTTCCATGAAAAGGCCTTTATAACAAAAATAAATAAATAAATTATTTCGTTGTTTATTTTGCTGAATAGGATTCCACTCTGGCCGAACCAGAAAATAGGGTTGTGTTTGTTTGGGTAGGAACTTGTTTTCCTCATTTTTCAGTGTTTGTTCCTCGTTTAGAAAAAAAAGTCAACAAGAAATGATTTACAGTCAACGGAAAATGATAGAGTATTTTTGAAAAAATGTTTTTTCAGTTAAAAAAGAGAAAAACATTTTCCTTCTCACGAGTTGTCTCGCTCTCGCATTATTTAGCTCTCTCTCGATATATTTGAACAATTTTTTTCTTTATCTTTTTTTTATTTAAAATATATCAACTTAATTTGTAATTATTCTTTATCAATTATTTTTAATTATTTAATTATTTTTTTCTCTATTTCTACTAATATTTGATTTTTTGATTTATAGATACATTAAATATTGTTAAAAACTATTTTTACACTTTAAAATTATTTTTATAATAAATATTTAATAATTTATCTTTATTTTTTTACTATTATCTCAAACACCACCTAAACTATATTTAAATCATTGGAAATGATTATTACAATACTGCAATTTTTTTTAAAAAAATTGAAATTAATTAATTCATTAATAAATATATTATTTTTTCAACACTATTCTTTTGTAACTAAATCAATAATTTGTAAATTTAATCAGTTTTAAAATTTTTTTGGTAATTGTAGTGAATAATTAGTTATAAATTATTCCAACATTAATCTTTTGAAACCAAATAAATAATTATCTACAATTGACAACTAATAATTTGTAAAACTATTTTTTAGACTAAATTATTATTTTAATTTCAAAAAAAAATTCCTAATTAAGTTACCAAAATAATGATGCTAGAGTTACTTAGAAATTTTTTTTTTTACTAAATGTGAATATTGATTTGATTTTATCTCAAGTAATTTTGATAAATTGGTTTGATGATTAGAAAAGTATATTTTATTTTTTGAATTAAAATTTTAGAGTCAGTATTTATGAAAATGTATTAAATTTTTCTAAATGTATCTTATATTGTGAAATTGTGAACATGTCTTTTTGAAGTTTTCTCAAAACTTTTTGATGTAACAATCACATAATGTTTTTATATTTTAATTTTCTGTACCAAACTAATGCTGGAATATATTTTTCAATAGCTTTTTTATGTAATTGCCAAACAACAGAAAATATTTTCTTGGAAAATAGCTTCTTCAAGAATTGATTTTCCTATGAAAGTTGTTTTCTGCCAAAAAAAGGAAGCCTAAGGGCATATTTATTCCATATTTCTAGAAAACTGGTCATTTGAGGCATAATGTTGTGTTGATGTTGCCCAGAGTTGTTTTAGTTTATTGGTTTGCATTATTCACTAAAAGATAAGTTGTGCAGTGTGATGAATAAGACTTTTCTTTCCATTGTGGAGAAGAAGGAAGTTTAAACGTTTTATTTCTTTGGATGATTTGATTGAGGATTTTACTTGAAAAAACATTGACATGCTCTGATGGTGGACAACCTTGAAGAATGTCGAGCTTTAGTGTCCTTGGTGGGATTTAGGGTTAGGGATGGAAGTCTGAGAAATTAGGTTTATTAGGGATATGTTTTTAGAAGAATTAGGGGATTGAAATAGAGCTGTGAATGGTAATCCACTGCAGCAGTAAGAAAAGAGAAGAAGAAAGTTACACGGCCTTCAAACTAAACCAAATTATTCAAAATAAATTTTATCATCAAGACTATACAGAAAGTTACATTAAAATAATTTCCTTATTAAACCATAATTCCTGAATAGTATTAAGATTCCGAAGAGAACGAATTCCTTGGTAGACTAGGTTTACAATCAAACTATACAGAAAAATACATTAAAATAATTTATTGATCTCTTTCTTCTTGGCTGGTTCATGGAGAATAAGGCTGCTGCATCCAAAGAACAGGGCGTTGGTGTGTGGTTTCATAAGTTACACCAACTCTACATGTTTTGTGATTGACTATCAACAAGCGAATGAAGCTTTAAATTCTTAATTTCACTGCACAATGATAATGATCATGATCTGCCTTGGACAATGCCATGTGTTGAACTTTGTTTTATCAATTTTCAATATACAAACATAAAGTACTGTTTTAGTTTTGCCTGCATCTATCTACCTTGACTAGTATTGATCATTTTCTCACTAGCAGGAATAAGTTAGTTGTCACTTAAATTCTAAGAATTTCCCTACAATCATACCCATCAATCATGTGTGGGATGGAGAGGTTCCTTTTCTTCTCTTTTTCCTTGTCTCTACTCTCTATGATCTTTCCTGTATGCATAATGCTCCTATCTTGAATTTATGTGTCATTGAAGGGGATAATTTCCTGGAATCTTTACTATTTTAGGAACTTAAATGGGAGACCCGAGAACTTCTTTACCTCTTCAAACTCTCAAATCTTCCCACTGATCCTCAAGGCAAGATAGGCATGTTTGGACCTTAGAAGGAACTGGCACCTTCTCTTTTCAATTGTTTCTTTCCCATCTTTCTTGATCTCCAAACATGACTGTTTCCCCCTCACCAATTGCAACCAGTTAGCTAAGGATCCTTCCAAAGTCTGAGCTTTCATTCGTGTGGCGGTGCTTTGATAAGATCAACACAAATCCATTGTTGCAGGCAAGGAGGTCTTGTTATGCTTTATTGCCTGATGTTTGTGTTATGTGCTTTAAAGTGGCAATACCCTCAACTTTATTGCATTGACCAGTGGCATGGGACTTTTGGAATGGGCTGTCAAGTGTTTTTGGGTGTCAAGCAGAATGGAGGATCATCTGCTCACACGTTTTCATGGCTTTAGGAGTGGGAAAGGCTGTAGTATCTTTTAGTGTGTGTGTCTTTGCAGTAATTTGGAGTATTTTTAGCAGAATGGAACTTTTGAATCTTCAAGTTCACTAAGTATGTAGGCAATTGTTGTGGAATGGAATTGTCTTCATAGAATTTTTATGGTGCTCTGCGCCCTTAACATTTTCCATGGGTTCATTTTTTCTTTTTTCTGGTTCTTTGTGGAGGATAATATTTTATCCTTCTTCATGTATCCTTTTCTTCTTTCCTTCTTAATTCTTCTTTCATCAGGGAAGAGCAGCCCCTCAATCACATTATCTAACCCTATCAAACATACAACCTCACCTGTCACAACATAAAAACATTCTCCTTATCTTCTCAATTTCCCCTCTCTCTCCAGTACCTATAGGCTAAGGTCCTTGTGCATTGCTCGTAATTCTAACAAACAAGGACAATCCACCAGCTTTCTCTTAAGCTTACATGAGTTGAGAACACAAAAACAGCCAATCTGTCTGAAGTCGCTTGATCATTGACTTTACTATTGAGAATCATCCTCATTCTCTGAGGATGTGTTAGGTCATATGTGGTTGTTTTGACTTGGAGTAGGACGCAATATTCCTTATATTTTACAATTACAATTTTGTTTTGTTCACTTTAGGGCCAAACTTAGGGAAATCATGCACAACAGCAAGGAGCAGTTTTGTCGCAACATTGCATATCAGCACCCTTCTAACTGTCATAATAGCTCCAAACTTTAGAGACTAAAATAAGCTATTTGACAGACTGTTTCTTTTATTTGATTAGTTAAACCTTTGCCTCAAATACTGAAGCTTGTGCTAATTTTCTAAATAGTTGCCTGTTTGTTTTGCTCATGGTCATCTAGCACCTGCACTCAAATGGGCAATCTGTATTTTCAACCCAGGCTATATGTTTGATTTACAAATGACCATTCATTTTAGGGATAAAGTGGACAAGTTCATAATCTCTGATTCACTGCAGGTGCAACCTTGTGGATTTAATGGTGGAGATGGACAGAATATTACGTCCAGAAGGAACAGTGATTATACGAGATTCTCCAGAAGTTGTTGATAAAGTGGCTCGTGTCGCTAATGCTGTAAGATGGTCGGCTACCATTCATGAGAAAGAACCAGAGTCAAATGGAAGAGAAAAGATTCTGGTTGCAACCAAAACCTTTTGGAAGCTGCCTTCGGCGTCCCATTGAAACGAAGCCTTTTTCTCTGGAATGTAACATTTCTTTTCCTTTCTTCTTAATTCTCATATAATGCCATGGCATACTCTGCATGCATCAAATGGATGCAGATTCCTTTCTTGTTCCTTTTTTGGCTCTTTATATCTAGCATGATAGGAAGTACAAAGATGGAAGGACGTTCAGGATTATGGTAGAATAGGTATAGTGGCTGCTGATAATATTGAACTGTGATTTGATTTAATTTAAATCTAATATAATTTTTTTTCTTCTTTTCATAGCTCATAATCATTGTTTTCATTTGCAAATGTTATTGTCTTCGTCTGGAACCAGACTCATCTTATTTCTGCTATCCGTTCTTATCAGCTAAGCAGCTTAAAAGAGGAAATTCTAATTCAATGTACAATAGTATTATAAAATCAGTGATGCTTCAAAGAGTAAAGTGAACGGCAGGTTTGTAGCATTACCGTGTGCTATGGCTCCCTAACGGTGCTGTTCTGCCAAGGAAGATATGAACATTTCAAATCCTTAAGCAAATGTTGCCATGTTAAGCACACGAGCATTTCAGCATCAAAGGTGGTGTCGTGAACGCCACCTGTTCTGTACGAGGACGCTTTCCTGCTTGTTGACCGGTGAGGCACAGCCGTATGAAGACAACAATCAATGTTGTCTCTGCTGATAATAATGGTTTTGGCCAATCCTTAAAAGGCATTACTATGACCTTAAGAAATACAAAGTAATTAATGCCTTCACGGCATTGCATCTAGGAAGTTACCCCACATATCTACTAACAGGCATGTATAGACCTTGTTTTCCTCGTGCTGGCAAGAGTTGGAAACATGTAGTTGTGTTTTGCAGGGAGGATCTGGGCCATTAGATCACAGAAAGTTGATTGGCCATTTCTACCAAGTAGAGTCTTAGTAATTGCACTGTATCAGAGCGGTAGAGAGTCTGATAATTTGGGTCTGATAGGGAGAGGGATTGGTGTATCTTATTCCAGGCTCCAGCAACTGCAGTTGCAGGTGACAAAAGCTGTGCTCGTGGGGACAATTAATAGATGTGGGTGGGCCTATAAAAGAGTTTTCACGTGTATGCCCATACAAGAGCCTACAACCCATAGTCATAAGGTCCACACCTCCTTTGATAGGAATGGAAATGGATCAAAATTCAGTCGGTATTTGTTTTTTTCCTTTTTCTTTTTTGCCATGCTATAGTCAGTTCAAGTTGAAAATTAACAAACAAATGAGATGGGCATCTTCTCTAACTCCTCTCCACTACAAGACGAGAGTGGTCACTAGGCTGAAGCCTAGGGGTCGTTAGTATTAAATATTTTATTCACGTTTATATTTGGTCAAAATTTTAATGTGTGGAAGCTATATAAACGATAAATATCTTGCAACTACCCAATTGATCATCTTGAAATTTGACAATAAATAAATGACCTAGTAAATAGCCAATTTAAATTCAATAAAAAAATAAAAATAAATAAACAATTGTGAATAGACGTGTCACTTTCAGATTTGAACGTGGTAGTCGGTATTAGACCTTTTATTATACACGTATACGAATACGAATTCCCAATCGGAATTGACCTTTTCGAATTCTTGATCCTTTAAGTCAATTTACATTCGCTTTTTTCCTTCTTTTTTTATTTTCTTATGAACTGAAAAATTCTTCCAACCTTTTACTCGAATGAATTGGAAACGTCAATCCGAATCCTTAAATTTTGTTGGTGAATATGGACTGGTGGACAGGTCGATGATATTTTGTCACCCCGTCTTAACTTCCTTCCCATGTTCCCATCACACGGGACATTGATGAAATGAAGAGGTTAAGCTGTCCCCACAACTCATGGAGGATTATTTCAAACAGAGGGTTCTAGTGAACTATGGACTTCAAACTCTGTCAGGACCATTATTTACAGACACCGTCAAATACGATCCTATCTTCATCGAGAAAGTATATACACGCTTATTGTGTACAGGGAAATATATATGGGTTAGCAATTTCTCGAGTCTTGATTACTTTCGAGGAGGTACAATTAATGTTATTCATCTCAAAATATAATTTTGGAGGAGTTCTCAATAATATTGGCCACTGATGAGATATACTTTATTGGTGGATCCCATACGAAATCAATTGTTGTTTTTTAAAAAAATTACTTATAATAAATATTAACAGTATTATTTTGTAAATATATCTATCAAAAACTGAAGCCACAAAACGATCTCCCTATTAATTTGGAAATAAGATTTCCAACATCGAGTTATTTTAAGTTAATTTCTAGCGATATTAAGTTCATTTTTCCGACCCAATTAAAAGCAAGCTAACCTGAAAATGAGATAATGGAAGGAAAAAAAAAAAAAAAAAAAAGGCGGATTAGCAAGTTGCTTCAAAGAGTCTTGAAATATCTATTGATTATAAGAGGTTCTATCTGATGGTCATTTTCCAAAATAGAAAAGGAGAGACGGCCAACGGTCAAGCTTAAATGTAAACAGGGAAGGAAGGTAATGAGGGTTGGAAAATGGCATATGGATTATAAATGCAACAGCAAAAGCAAATGGTTGTGTGGGGCTAATGTCTACCTGTTGAAACTCTCTCACTACCTGGATTCATGGAATTAAGTCTTTGCATGGACAGGAAAATTAAAAGTTTTACGTTCAGATTACAACCACAATTGAGGGTGAAAGGTCATGTGGGGGTGTGGGCCTGTGGATGGGAACACAACCCCTTACCCACCTCAACTGGGTCTACTGCGTACCCTTACATTTACATATGAATAAGAAAGAATACACTGCTAGCTATCAGCTAGAGAACTTGGACGCTTGGACTTGGTTTTTAGTTGGGACTTTCAAGCCTTTAAAAAGGTTTGAGTTTATGACAAATTTGAGTATGCAGCCTACTCCATTGACTTTTATCATCTTTGTTTATATATGTCACACGTTTCTGGTATTTTCTCAAATTCTGAGGCTGCAATATTTGCCTTTTGCAATATCTAGAAAGGCTAAATATTTCTTTTAGCATGCTTTGGTAATATAGAGAAAAGACAGCTAAAAAAGAGCTATGGACCATAGGCGTGATGTAAAATTTATTTTTTCAGATATAATACTTGAAGATGTCCACAGCTCACTTGCGTTTTATATGTAAACATTTTGTATTCTTTTTAATGTATTTTATTTGGATAAAGTTCTATTTTAATGAATGTTGAAAATGAGGGTTATATCTGTTAGAGAACCGGAACTTAAAACTAAGATTGAAATTAATCGAAATTGTGGGATAGTTTTTTAGGCAATTAAGAGGTCGGATGTCTCCGAAAAAATCAAGTGATAATCATTCTATAACCTTACACATATTCTAACAATTACGTTATCGAAGTTTATATTCGCGATATGTATGTGTTATTGAAGTGTTAATTAATGATTTTAAAAAATTGTCCGAAAAATAAAATTTTTAAGTCCTTTCTTTTGGATTAACATCAACCCCACCCCCAGCAAGTTTGAGCGTTATGTCAGTTTCCTCCCTACAGCACAAATGTTTCTAATCACGCACCTCAGGTTGCAATTTTGTTGTCAACACAACCACCTAGTGAAGACGTCTTTCTAAGAGAGAGATGTTGGTCGTCACTGGTCGCTCAGATCTACGAACCTATAGCATCCTCCTCGCACATCCTTTTGCATTTGCTTTTTATGTCTTGGTATTTCTCTTTTATATCACAATATCATTTGCTTTCATTTTTGAGATGTAATCTCTAACTTGGCAGTAGGTAGTTATGATCAAGATTTGATGAGATTATTGATCTTACTAATTTACTTGGTGCCCAAGAAAATCTTTTGGCCAAGCGTGGAATTTCATCTTAAATTGTTTTGATCAAAATGTTGATAAAAATGTGTACTACTGCAATCATTGTTTTACAAACAAATATGAAGTTTTGACCCATCTTATTTAGAGATAGACATGCATTGCGAATGTATGTCATTATAATAATGGAAATAGTTTTTTCCACCTTTCTTTAATAACAGTTTGCAAGTTATTAAAAAAAAAAAAGTTGTAGTTTTGGTTTTATTTTCATTCCTCCATGTCATAGATTAACTTTCTTTATTAATTACTGATTTTTGTGCTTCATGACATAGTATAATTATCGAGGGAGGTTCAAAATAGACAATCTCTTTAAGTTCGTGAATTTTTTTTATTACCTTCTAAATCGCCAAATAACTTTATTTATATATATATACACGCAAGTGAACAGATAGAATGTAATGTTAGTATTGGTTGAAGTGAACATATGGAATGCTTTTTCATTTCGTATTTTAATATTTTTAGTTCAGTTTTTTGGTTAATCGAACCAAAAAAAAAATGAACCCAAACCAAATTATTGTTTGATTTTTTTAATTTTTGATTTTGGCTTTTTAATTTAAACTATATTTTTTTAATAATCTAAATAGACCAAATGCATCATCAATTTATCATATATTTATAGTGATGTTAAAGTAATGATTTTTGTGCTTCATGACATGGTATAATTATCGAGGGAGGTTCAAAATATACAATCTTTTTAAGTTTGTGAATTTTTTTTATTACCTTCTAAATCGTCGACTAACTTTATGTATATATACACACGGTGCGAGTGAACATATAGAATGGTTCGACAAGTAGTGTTAACGTTGGTCGGAGTGGTTATTTAGTTTTCCAGTTCGTATTTTAATATTTTCAGTTCAATTTTTTGTTTAATCCAATTTTAAAAAAGAAAAAGAAAAAAAATTGAACCCCAACTAAATTACTATTTGATTTTTTTATTTTTGACTTTGGTTGTTTCGGTTTAAATCAATTTATTTTTAATATTCTAAATAGATCAAAGACATCATCAATCCATCATATAATTATAACGATGTTAAGGTAATGATTTTTTTTGTTTATTTATATTATTTAAAAAATAAAAATAAATTGATTTTCAATTTAAACTGAATTAAAAATGTCAAAAACTAAACCGAACTAAAAAAACAAAAATAGTTTGTTTA